CGATACGTTTGAGACTGAAGATGATTTGGTTTTTAAGTTTGATATTATACACAACCTTAGAAGTGGATGATAGAAAAGAGGAGCAACATCTCTTAAATTAATCAAAGAGAATGCAGGGTTTTGATGAACTCTCGGCCTGACCTACCAGATTTTTTTTATGTGCTTAATTTGTCTAGGGAGCTTCCGTCCCCCAGTGGAGATGCTGCCTGATGGGTGTGCTGAGAGACCCTTCCATGTCGAGACTCCATTGCTGGAAAGTTTGGCTCTTTCACAAGCAGCTGGCACCAAAGTCTACATGAAGTTGGAGAACGCCCAGCCAAGTAGTTCCTTCAAAATCCGAGGTATTGGCTACTTTTGCCAACAGGTGAGTGGCTGGGGCAGGACAGGCAAGTTTTTTAGACCAATAGGGACATTTAGCATTTTAGACAAAATGTCCTGGGTGCTTGTCACAAAGCCGCTGTCCCCAGGGAGTTTTGCCTATTTGCAAAATGGCTGCAGTGACCCGCTCAGACCCTCTTTTAGCCCCCAGGATGATCCCTGGTTCTGGAAACTTATCTTGGTCTTTTTTATGGTCAGGTGGGACTTCCAAACACGTCCCTGAGTCACGGCCTGCTGAGAGTTCCTTTTTTTGATGGAGCGTAGCCTTTTCTAAATAAATGGTGAATTATCAACTCTGATGCCACCTAGCTGACCTTGGCTGATCCAGAAACTAAACAGGGCCAGACCTGGTTTGTACTTGGATGGGAGACCACGAAAAAATCCTAGAAAGAGATAATGGCAAGAAAACTAGATGGATGTGTCTATGAAGATGATGATGATGATGATAACAACTCAACAAGCATTTTGATCAATATTATCTCGCAAGCTTCCAAGTCATCAGATCATTGTTATCCAAAAAAATTATAGGGTGGGCCAAGTCCCTTCTAAGGATGAAATTCTGGTTTTTGAATCTTGTGAGATCATAAATGGGATTGGGGTAAGGAGGATATTGACAAATCTTAGTGCACAGATGAAGAGACACTTTTAAATACTCAGAAAGATTATGCATATTTTCTAATCCACTGGCTGGGTCTGCACAGTATTCATAGACCAGTTCCTGATTTAACCCATTTTCTGGGTTCACACAATACATTGAAGCTGAAATTCACCCAACAGCCTGGGTTGGCCCAGCTCACTTAGTCACAAAAAAAATCAAATCAAACCCAGGCAAAGCGTAACCAAGCGGAGCATGTTTGTGTGAATGCAGCTGCTGGTCTTTGCCTGATCTGGTGAAACCTGTTGTGCAAACTCAGCTTTGGTGTCTGTTGACAAGGCTCATCTTGAGATGTTCATAAGATGAATGAATTGTTCTGTATTGAGGAATACATGGACACAATTCTAACTGGAAAAATTGCAACATTTGGGAACCAACTGGAAGCTCCCATCAGTCTCCCAGGACAGTCTGTTCTCTTAGACCAGTGTTGTCCAAACTTGGCCACTTTAAGATGAGTGGACTTCAACTCCCA